TAGCGCGGGCTAAGTTTGTTCCACTGTCGGCTTGCAACTGAAATCTGCCTGAAAGTTGTAATTTGAGAAACACCCAATCACCTTCTTCATATTGGACATTCTTGTGGTGTTTATCATAGGTGTGCTTCATCCATTGTTGTGCCTGTAAGAGATGATGTCTCAGTTCCCTTAGCACCTCATCCCGTTGCGTTAGCTATTCTTCAATGACCGCTACTGAGGTGGTTCCTTTTTCATAAGGAAATAGAGGGGGAGGGTCCCGACCATATAAAACTCTGAAGGGTGTCATCCCCGCGACGCTATGGAAAGTGGTGTTGTACCACCATTCGGCCAAGTGGATCCATTTCACCCATTGTCTTGGTCGATCTCCTGCGAAGAATCTTAGATATGTTTCGAGACTCTTGTTAATTGCCTCTGTCTATCCATCAGATTGGGGGTGGTAGCTAGTTGATTTGAATAGTTTAACCCCATGTAGGCGGAAAAGCTCAACCCAGAAATGACTCATAAAGATAGGGTCCCTGTCTGTTGTAAATGGGTGTGATAGAGGTAGGAAATGACTGTATTTTGTTAGTCTATCTACTACCACAAGGATAACTGTTTTGCCGACAAAAATGGGCAATCCCGTGATGAAATCCATTGATATATCATCCCAGACTTGGGTTGGTATTGGGAGTGGTTGCAAGAGGTCTGCTGGTGTTGTAGTGGCTGACTTGTTTTGTTGGCATACTACACACCCGACTATGAAGTTCTGGATAGATGTACCCATGCCTTTCCAATGAAATTGTGTGGCGATGTGCTTTTGTGTTCGTAGGATGTCGGAGTGGCCACCCGTGGGTGAGGCATGAAATAATTCTAGGAGATTCTTAAGATGAGCAAAGGCTGTCGGGATTTCCAGGCGTCCTTTGAAGAAGAGTAGATCATTCTTAATTGTGTACCCGGGGTGCACTGAGGGATTTGCCAATACTTGGGCCTTCAACTGCTGTAACTCCTTATGGGATTGGGCTTCTTTTCGCAGTAGCTCTAGGAGTGGAGAAGTTAGGGAAGATACTAGTAACTGAAATGACTGTGGGTGTCGTGAGAGGGCGTCTGCCACTTGGTTAGTAGCCCCTGCTTTGTATTCAATTCTGTAGTCATACCCCAGTAGCTTGGATATCCAGTGTTGCTGTTCCGGGGATAGAACTGATTGATCCAATAAGAACTTCAGACTTTGATGGTCGATCGGAATTGTGAACCGTCTACCGATCAAGTAGGATCACCATCGTTGGACTGCTAAGACTATTGCTATTAATTCTCGCTTATAAACTGATTTGGCCAACTTTTGTGATGTTAAGGCCTTGCTGAAAAAGGCTAGTGGTCGCCCCTCTTGCATGAGAACAGCCCCAACGCCTTGACCKGAGGCATCACACTCAATGATGAAATCTTTTGTGAAATCGGGCAGTGCTAATGTTGGAGGGCTCACAACTGCCTATTTTAATTGCTCAAAAGCTTGTTGGGCCTGGTTTGACCAGTGAAAAGCGTCTTGTTTCAGCAATTGGGTCAATGGTGTAACTATTAGGCTGTAGTTTTTGATGAAGCAGCGGTAGTACCCGGACAGTCCTTAGAAGGCCATCAATTCTTTCACACATTTGGGTTGCAGCCAACCCACTATACTGGAGATTTTATCTGGGTCAGCCGCTATAGTCACCTTTTCTACAACATGTCCCAAGTAGTGAACTTGGTTTTGTCCAAAGGAGCACTTGGACTCTTTAGCAAACAGCTGGTGGGCCTCAAGTGTTGCAAGGGTGACTTGCAGATGGTTAAGATGTTCCTCCCAATTAGGGCTGTAGACCAATATGTCATCAAAGAAAACAAGGATGAACTTACATAAATATGGCCGGAATATGTTATTCATCAATGCTTGAAATGTGGCTGGAGCATTGGTCAGCCCAAATGGCATGACCCAGAACTCATAGTAGCCATCATGTGTCCTGAAAGCTGTTTTGTGAACATCCTCCCTATGTACCCTTATTTGATGATACCCAGCTCGTAAATCCAGTTTTGAGAATATGGTGGCTTGATTGAGTTCATCAAGAAGCTCATCAATGACTGGTATCGGGAATCGGTTTTTAATGGTGATGCTGTTAAGGGCTCTGTAATCAATACAAGACTGCCACGTCCCATCCTTTTTCTTGACTAATAGTACCAATGAAGAGAATGGGCTGTGATTGGGCTATATTATCCCTTGCTTAAGCATATCTTGAACTTGCTTCTCGATTTAAGATTTCTGAAAGTAAGGGTATTGGTAGGGTCTTAATTGGTCGGGGCTGATCCTGGCATGAGGGGGATGCGGTGGTCATGCTCCCAGTGTGGTGGCAGTCCTTGGGGTTCTTTGAACACATGGCCATAGTGTTGAAGGAGTTGTTGTAGGCGGCTTTGGAAGTCTCTCGGCCCATCTGGGCTGTTGTTAGCTACTGATCCAATTTGAGTCCATGTGCATGAATATGGGCTGATCTGGATCTCCTCTTTGCTTTGTCAGTGTTGCAAGACTGATGGGCCTTGGTCCCTTGCATGCTTGCCTTTGTAGATGGACTATAGAGTTTCCTGATGTGAAGTCCATGGTGAGACGGGCTTAGTCACAGACCACGAGTCCTAACTGTCTTAACCATTGAATGCTTAGCATCACGTCCGCTCCACTGAGATGGAGAGGATATAGGTCCACTGCAAACTGATGACCCTGAATCTTCAGTGGTAGGCCCATGCAAATGCTATTGCAAGACAGACTGTTACCATTGGCCACATAAATTGTAAAGGCCGTTGTTGGTTGAACCGAAAGTCCCATTTTATCCACCAAGACTTGAGTTATGAAGTTAAGGGAATTTCCATTGTCTATGAGGATTGACACTTGGCGTCCTAGGATCAGCCCTGCAACTCTCATTGTCTGAGGGGACGCAAGTCCCATAAGGGCTTGTAAGGATATTTCAGGCGTGCCATTGGATTGTATTTCCCACGCTGGGTTAGATTCTTTGCAACCGGTGATGTCGTCTTCCTCTTCGACATCTGTTTGGAGGAGAAATTCTTGTTGTTTCTTGCAGCGATGGCCCGACCCAAATTTCTCTTCGCCGTTGTAACAGAGACCTTTGTCTCTACAGGCTTGCATCTCTGCCCAGGTCAGCCATTTGAAAGGAACCAGTGGGCCTGGGCCCAGTACTCCTTCCTACTTGTCTAGTGCTGTCGTCCTTTCTTGCTCCCTTCTTGGTCCTGGACCCCATGGTCACTACATCTTTCTTGCTCGGCTGAACTTGTCCTCATACAATCTGGCTAGTGTTGCTGCATTGATGATCGAAGTGGGCTGCATCGCTTTCACTTCCAGTCGCAGTTCTTCTTTTAGGCCACCGACAAAGCTTCCCACCAACTCCTTCTCCGTCCACCCTTGGACTCTCACGGCCAACCTTTCGAACTCCATCTGGTATTCCTTTACTGATCCCACTTGCCGCAGCTTTGCCAAGTTTTCATCAAGATCTTCGAACCTAGATGATTCAAAACGGACAGTCCGTGATGTCTGCCCAGGTTTGACGAGGGTGCCCCCTTCAGTACCGTTGAAACTAGAGGATAGCTTCCCCTTCAAGATGCATGGAAGCCAGAGCTACCCTATCTTGCCCTGATGTTTCATGGTAATCGAAATACCTTTCGACTCTGAAAATCTAGGGAGTTAGGTCGCCGCYTGAGAAGATGGAGAAGTCGATTTTGGCTATTCTTGTTGCCGCCCTTGTTCTGCGGCTGTTTTCATTGCTGCGCTCTTCTTGGCTTCCTCTGTCGATGTTCGTTGCCTCCTGCTCCAGTCAAAGGAGGAGAGCAATGAAGCCTTCCTTCATTTCTTTGAGATCTGAAGACATTCGATGGATCTCTACCTTCATCTGATCCACTAGGGTATCTACTGACGTGTTTCTTGTGTTGGTCATACTGGCTCTGATACCAAATTGTTAGGAACCTACCTAACTCAAGGCTCATCGAGGGGCCAACCTCCTGAATTCTTGGAAGAAGAGAGAGGAAAAAGAGAGAGAGAGAGAGAGAGTTTAGTGCTGAAAGAATCAATGTCCTATTCCTTTTCTGCTCTATTTCTTATAGTTTTACAATATTGATTGTCTTTCTGTTACTGTTTCTGTTACAGTTGTTACAAGTGGATGGTTAGTTGTGCTGACGTGGCCTCCTCTTGTAAAACTGATTAACTGCCTTCTGTTGGTCTGTTCCTTGACACTCTCTATGATTCCTGACTTTTTGTATGACTTAATAAATTCATTGTAGTGAATTCACCACCTCTATCAGTACACTATTTTAAGTGAATATCAAGCCAATTTGATTCTCAACAAAAGCTTTAAATTGGTAAAAAACATGTAAAGTATCAAATTTTTCTAAAAGAAGATACACCAAAGTCATCTTAGTGAAGTCATCAGCAAATAGTAGAAAGTGTCTACTTCCACCCAGAGAGGCGGTACACATGGAACTATACAAATCTACTTGCACAAGCTGTAATGGCTTATTTGCCTTCCAAGATTTACCTAATTGATAGAGTGATCTATGATGTTTGCCATAAGTACAAGGTTCATAATATTTTATTGGATTTGTGATATAGAATAAAAACCTATTCATGATCCTCACCTAAGAACTTAATCTTTTAATTTGAATGGTTCCTTGATATCATGTTGTCTATTGTTTGATCCTCATCACCCCCATTATAATTAATTAAAATTTAGCACAAGGTATTGATGGGCCTATGCCTCACATAACAACTTAAGATTATAGGTTGTATGGTTGTTTGTTAATTTGCAATATTTCTATTTTTAGATTTGATTAATGGGCAAACCAACCCAGTAGAAATACATTTCACAATACGAATGAATACATAGGGATATAAATTCTGCATATCTAAAGTTGTAATGTTGCACTGAATGCTACTAGATAGTTTGGCATCAGATGATGAGCAGAATTTACTGACCAAATGATCGAAATTTCTATTCTCAATGCAGCTGTGGATTTAATAGAAGATGTCAAAGTGCAAGGCATTATTGGGCCAGAAGATTTCTTGGTTGCCATGGGAAACAAAGTTCGTATTACCGATAATTTCCTTTTCTTCACACAATTTTAGCCTCTCACCTATCCATTTTCCTTACTTTGTGCGAATTGCTAAAAGGAACTCATCCTACATTAAAGAAATTGCTAGCATTGTTGAAGCATTTCAACATAGAGAAGTGTCAATCATCCATGATGACACTAAAAGTGGAGATGTAGCAATTAGGTATCTCACTGATACCCTTCGTGACATAGATGTCCAAGTACGCCAAAGAATTATCTTGCCTTGTGCCACAAAAACCGAAGTAATTATAGATACTTTGCACATGATAGCAGGAACCGGCACAAGAGTCTTCATCATCCATCTCTCTCATTCTCTTGGCTTTTCTTTCTTCTTGCAGGTCGAGAAGTTGGGAATGATGAAACTTGGGTACTTATGGATTGCTACTAGTATTGGACTTACTGATCTTATGGTCCATAAGGACACTTCTTTCTTCCGTTCTAGTGAAGGAGTTGTAGGAATGAAGTCTCAACAAAGAACACAAGTTCAAAAGGAAGAAATAGACTTGGAGAAAATGAAGCTCAACATCTATGCAACACTTTGGGCAAATAATACATTATTTGTCATGGCAAATGCAGTAGATAGAGGTGATTATGATTCAAGAAAGAACATTTGGTCTACTATGGATTCATCCAAAATGCATGTCACCAAATTTAAGATAGTTAATTGGACAAAAAGTACAAGTTATAAAGCTAGGTATTCATCCCCAAGGTCTGTAATTTCACGGAGCTTGAGATCAGAAGATGCAACAAAGAATCATGTAAACAACTTTCCTGCAACATTTAGGAAAGGAGCTACAGTAAGTCCTAGTGATGATAAAATTTTGAAGATCGCGGTCCCTTGTAATACCTCGTTTGCTGAATTCGTTAATGTGACTTGCAAAGAGAATGGTAGTGTCACAGGATTCTCAATAGAAGTTTTTGATGCTGTTATGCAGAAGCTAAGCTATCGTTACAAGTATGTCCCATTTGAATTTGGAAACTCATACAACACTATGATAGATCAGGTATTCAACAAGGTAATCCCATACCCTTGATGCATTGATTTAAATTAGACTTATGTTTGACGATTAGATAAAGAGCTTACAAGGGAAAACCCTCCATCTTTCCCATCTTAGAATCTCTAACTAATTAGTCAACTTTATAATCAACTACTCTATGGTAATTGATCTACAAATATCTTATCATATAAACCCAAGTCTCTCTCTCTCTCTCTCTCTCTCACTTACTCTCTTCTCTTCTACTTGCCATGTTGGAAATAGACAAGGTATATAAGCCATCAAATTCTGAACATTAGCAAGATTACTGAATATGACTTCAATATAGTTCTACTGCTTCAGTAGATTTATTAATGTGTTAACAACACCAAATTGTTAATTTGCTTCTTTGGGTTCTTTCATGGGAGCGAGAGAGCAGGCTTACGATGCAGCAGTAGGAGACATAACAATTAGAGCGAATAGATCAAAATTTGTGGGGTTCACTCAACCATACGCTGGTTCTGGAGTTCGCATGATTGTACCGGTAGAACATGAGAGTGATACAAATGGTTTATGGTGGTTCTTAAAGCCATTTACAGCACAACTATGGTTAACTACACTTGTTTTCTTCCTCTTGAAAGGAGTATTAGTATGGATCTTTGAGCATCAACAGAATCCGGAGTTTCAGGGCTCTAAATATCAACAATTGGGAAAAGTTCTTTACTTCTCCTTCTCCTTGTTAGTTTTTGCACAAAGTAAGTAAAAGCCTTTGAATTTTCCAAGTGTTGAATCCTATGATAAGTACTTTACATTTTAAGGATGCTTGTGGATGATTCATATTTAGTTGTTTTATAATTAAAGGGTTTTTATTAAATGGAAAATTATACAAACTTACTAGTTTGTTTTATTTCTTTTATTTTTAAATTTAATGAACTCCATTCTTGCATAATGCATTACAACATTTTGATGTAAAATGAATTGTTGAATATCATACTACTATATTTGTTTGTCTTTAACTACTTTATATAAATATAATTTCTTCAGAAAGAAATACAATGGGGATGTGACAAAGTTTTTTTGTCAATATATGTCTAGATTCTTTCTGTACTTTAATGGATTTCCTTTATCTTTTCTTTGGAACCCTCAACTAGTTTTACACCATATGAATGTTTTTTATGTCCATATTGCAATTGCTTCATTTTTATTTTCCTTATATGAAGATCTTCATTTTTGTGGTCCTTTTGTCAGCCTACCTGACCCATCCCAACCATCCACCTGAAACCTAATCAAGCACATCCATATTGCAATTGCCTTTCCTCTCTTTCTACTTCAAATCTCTCTTCCCTATTCCATCTTTTCTCTTTCCCCTCTCCCTCCTCACATTTTTATCTCTTCCAATTTTCTCTCCTATTTTGAATGGATTAGGTTGAGTTATGCATGGGCATCCATATGGTCAATTATAGAAGTTATGTATATTGTATATTTTTACTTTTTATTATCTCTCCTCTTTTTTCTATTTCCAATTTTCTCTCCTCCCTACTTTCGAAAAAAAGAAATATCTCCTATCTATTCCATATTTTCTCTCTCCTCTCTCCCTCGCATTTTTATCTTTTATGATTTTCTCTCCTTTTTCTTTCTTGTTTCTTTTTACTCTAATGGATTCTCTCTCATCTTGCTCTCCTCCCTATACCTTCTTTGGGTTCGACTATGATGCTAGAAAGCCATGATACCAGAAGAGATTATAACCATATAGTACTAACCAATTGGGTGGGTTTTCATAAAAATCCATTGGGGGGCTTTGATTGTTCAAAGCCTTTCCGGTACCATGCCTTCTGTGCATATAGATTTTTCCTCCGTTTGCACTGTCTCTCCCCCTACCTCCACTTATTCTTTCTTAGTCATCAATTCTTTTTGGCTCCATGGAACTAAACAATGAGGAGTAGCCCATCCTCTAATCCATAACCCCCAACCGTGGTGTAGGCGGGATTTGATCCCAAGTCTCTTCTATAACCAACTGGAGACCTCACCAACTAGTTGGCACCTTGATCCCACCAATTCTCTTTCTCTCATCTCTTGCAAACTCTCTCTTTCTCTTTCTCTCCTATCCCTCACTCTCCCATCCCCCTCCTAGTCTCTCTCTCTCTCTCTCTCTCTCTCTTTCCTTTTTAGTCTTCATGGGGCTACACATCAAGGGTGGGGGTGGGGGGGGGATAGCCCATCCCCCATCCCCTTAACCCTAACCATAGTGGCTGCAGGATTTTCTTTTTTCACCATTTGTTTTTCTCATTCCTCTCTCATCTATTTCACTCTTTCCTCCTATTTTCTTTCTTACTCGAACTTTTTAATGAATATCAGCTTTTGTCTATCACAAACCAAATAAAGGCATGGGGAAACATAAGAAAAACTAAATATTTTTTCCTCAATAAAGATTTATTTACATAAACTTAATTATTCAAATGGGTGGGTGGTTGGGTTGCAACCCATGTACATAAAAATGTATTGTTCATCAATGGATGTGGGTCATTGATGGATGGGTTGTTTTTCAACCTGCACCCAATCCATCCATTTGCTACTCCTATTATCATCTTTTATTTCATCCAATCCACTCTAAAATACTTTGTATGTATGTTGTGAAAAGTTTCCTTTTGTTAATACTTATGCCTTGTAGAGATTATACTATTTAATAAATTTGCTTATTATTTTACAGAAGAAAATCTTCAAACCAATTATTCTAGATTCGTAACATACTTGTGGATGTTCTCATTGTTCATCATTGTGGCAAGCTATAATGCAAATCTAACATCCATCTTAACGGTTGACAATCTACGACCAACCGTTACAAGTCTTGATACATTGCTCAAGGAAGGAAGTTATGTTGGATATCAAAAGGGGTCTTATGTGGGTGATCTTTTGAAGGAGAAGGGATTCTCAGTTGAAAAGCTTAAAATGCTTTCAACAACTACTGAATATGCGCAAGCTTTATCAAACAAAAGTGTTGCTGCAATTGTGGATGATATTCCAGTTATTAATGTATTTCTAAAGAAGTACTGCAACCAATTCACTATAGCTGGACCAACTATTCAAACAGGAGGGTTTGGCTTTGTAAGTTTCTTGTTCTTACATTTTCTTAAGCTAACATGTTTAAAGTAGTTTATATGTTTTTGTTTAATTTGTGAATTCAATCTAATCTAACCAACATAAATAATCTAAAATAATTGTTTCAGTAATGACTACGAATAATTCATTCTACTTCATAAATGATAGGGTGTAAAAACTTGAACCTCCCTTGTCATTTTTCACAAATACTAAAATTTCATCTCTCAATTCAAATTGGACTAAGACCTCCCTTGTTAGAGTTATGTCTAACCAAATCATCAAAAAGTATCCTGCCATGATAATTCTTTAAAATTTTGAATTACTATAACCTCTTTCACTGGAGCACAGGGTGATACTAAATCTTAATCTCAAGCTTGTCCCTTTCGAATTAAATCAGTTGTTTTTCTACCATGACTTAGAAAAACCCAGTGGAAATTAAAAAACTAAGTGCACAATGGAGCAAAGATGTAGAGTCTGATAGTTTGGGTAGGTCAACATTTTCTTGTTTGCAATGAGTAGAAATTGCAAAATAAGATAAGAACGAGATGCTTCAATGACTATAGTTGGTGTGACACCCTACAAAAATGTACTATCTCCAATTGCACGGAATCTCACATATGTTCGAACAGTGCCTAATTAAACCATGTAAGAATTCAGGTCCAACTTCGTTCAATATTATTCTTCCAAGATGCCCCAATTGTTTGTACATCATGCGATCATTTCTTGGCAAGCCAAAATCTGATGGGAGATCTTGCTTGCATTTTCCTTTACCTAAGACTATAAACTTGAAAGTAATAGCCCATATTAGAGTTTTTCTTAGTAGAGATCATTTATTTTTGAAGGAGGTGGATGAAGAAGGGTGAAGGTGATGTCTATCTTTCAAATTTTTGGGGACCCAAAGAAAGAATAAAGGGATGTCTTCATGGTTAATTATTATTATTTTTTTTTTGGTTTATTACTTCATGAATTTTGAATTCTTTTCCCTTGAGCAAACATTGTAAATGATGTAGAAAGAAATGTGAATATGGAGGAAATTTGTCCCTAGAAAATTAGAAAAATTTTACATATAAAAAGAATATTTTATACTTATTATCATGCCTAAAATACTAATGAAATAATGGGATGAATCTTAAAATTATTCAATCACACTTAAATTAGAAGAAGAAAAGAAAAATATGAGAAGTTGAAGAAGAAGGATTGAAAGAAAAAGAGCTAAAAGAAAATTTAATTGCCACCCAACTCTCTTTTCTATTATAATTAATCTAAAATTACAATACTGCCCCTAACTTAATAGAATAAAGGAAAAATAGATAGAAAGCAAAGAAAACAGAACAATCACCAATTAGACCCTAATACCTAACAATACATTTAAAACTCCTCCTTAAGTTGGAGCCTATATATCATAAAGCTCCAACTTGTTGGAAATGTATTTCATTGGTTCATGACTTAATCCTTTGGTGAAAATGTTGGCTAACAAATCTTCAAATTTCACATAAGGTGTAACAAATTCTCCTTTAACAACTTTTTTCTTCAGAAAGTGAGTCCACTTCTATGTATTTGGTTCTTTCATGAAACACTAGATCCGGAGAGATATGAGTGGTAGCCTAGCTATCACAAAACAACTTAGTGGAAGTTGAAATTGCCACTCCTATTTATTTTAATAACCGCTTTACCACATCAACTCACAATGGGCATGGGCCATGGCTCTATACTAAGTTGTAGTATTAATCCTAGCCACTACACTCCTTACTTTTTCAAGTAATAAAGTTCCCTACCAGAAACGTGCATGTAGTCAGTTATGGACTTTTTCATTTGTAACTAATCTTGCCTAGTCTACATTTGTATATCCTTCTAAGGAAAAGTTCTACTTTCTTATATAGTAGTCCTTGACCTAGGGGGGCACCTTTTAAATACTATAGCACTCTAAGAATGCCTTTGTAATGGACTCACCTTGGGTTCTACATAAACTAGCTCAATAATCCAACATTGAAGAAAATGTGTAGCCATGCAATGGTTAGATAAATTTCCTTCCCTACTAGTTTCTTGTACCATTTACGGTTAGCTAGAAGCTCTTCCTCATTATCAAACATTTTCACATTCAAATCTGTAGGAGTGTTTATTGGTTTTGATTCTAATAAATAGGTTTCTTTCAATAAATCAAGAACATACTTCCTTTGTGTGTGAGAGAGAGAGACTTCATACTTTGACCTTGCTATTTCTATACACAAAAAAAATGCCTCAAATGCCCTAAGTCTCTTGTACCATCTAGTGTTAGTTAGAAACTCCCCTCACTGTCAAACATCTTTACATTAAGATCTATAAGAGTGTCTATTAGTTTTTCTTCTAATAGATTGGTTTCTTCTAACAAATCAAGCACATACTTCATTTGTAAGAGAGAGAGAGATTTCATACTTCAACCTTGCTATTTTTATGCCCAAAGGATACCTCAAGTTCCCTAAGTCCTTAGTTTGAAAGTGATTCTATAAAATTTGATTAAACTCTCTAATACCATGTTCATCACTTCTTGTGATAATAATTCTATCAACATAAACTACTAAGACAATCTTCCTGGACACAATATCCTTACTAAACTTAGAGTGATCAACAATGCATTGTTTCATCCTAAACTATTGCACATAACTACTAAATCTCCCAAACCATGCTCTTTGGAGATTGTTTCAATCCATAAATCAATTTTTTTAACTAACACACTTTTCCTTCCTACCCATACCCAAGAGGTTACCCCATATACATATCCTCTTCTAGGGCACAATGGAGGAAAGTATTTTTCACATCCAATTGAAGCAACTGCCAATCAAAGTGAGCAGCCAAAGAAATAATCACATGAATTGAACCTATTGTATTCACTAATGAAAAGGTACTAGTATAATCAACACCGTAGGTCTGTGTATATTGCCACCAAATGAGCCTTATAATTTTCTACACTACCATCTGTGTGTGATTAATCTTATAAACACATTGACAAACAACTACTTTCTTTTCAAGAGAAATAGGAGTAAGATCCTAAGTGTAATTATATTAAAGAGTACGAAATTCATTATCCATCTCTCTCTTCCATTTAGGAGAAAGAATAATGTCATGAACTGACCTAGGAATAATCATAGATGAAAGAAGAGACAAAAAGTTCTGATATGAAGAGATAAATGGGCAGTGGAAACATAACAAAAAATAAGATGTCTAATATAAGCATGTACACCTGTATGAAGAGCAATGGAAAGGTTTAGCTTTGAATGATAGTTGAGGAGATGCTAGAGTAGGCTGAAATATGATTCCATCAATACTGTATACACTATTTGAAAGAATGGTAGGATCCATGAAGGTTGCGGAATGGGTGGGCAAATTTCAAAAGTTTTCCTACCTTCTTCCAACTGGGAATCATATTCCCTAAATTTAGAATACAATATTCAAGGATCCTACTTGAACCATAATCGAACTAGATCTGAACCAAAAGGAAATTGAGGAATTATACCTGATCCATAGAAGCAGTATCTCTCAAAGTTGGTGTTCACGCCCAAAGAGGACACCAAGATCCACTCCTGCTGAAGATGACACAACTGTAAGTGCAACGGAACCAGCAGAGTGCGTCCTACACACTGGATCCTTCGCAAGAATCCTCTGAAAACTCTGAGCACCAAATCTTTTTCAGTCTTTTCTGCAAAGCTGATGTCAAGAAACAGTTTCTTGATTTCTTTCTTCTTCAAAGATCGAATCTTGTAAGAAAGGATGGCGGCGGCTGGAGGAGAACTCTTGGGATGAAGATGGTTGAATAGCTTCTCTTCTCTCTGGAGTCTATATGAGATCCAATCTCAATTTGCAGGATGCTCTCTTGCTTGCACAAAAACCCCTGTTCGAAATATGATATTGATCTCTCTTAGAGTTTCTCTTCTTTTCTTCTTGATTAAGAAACCTCCTAATTAGGAGTTATCACATTCCAAATCAGTATTTAGATAGGGGATGATCTTAATCCTATCTTTAGATTAAGTTAGCTTACTCYTGATCTTATCAGGAGGTTACCAGATTCAAATCTGATTTGAATTTGGTCTCCCATAGTGGATCAGGTCAAAGGCCCAATCATTTTGCTAACTTTAATCCCAGATTCGCCCCATAGATGGGCGATCATATCAGCCCAACTCAAAATGGGCTTTTGGCCCATTAAGTGTTCAGTGCTTAACTAGTTTCCAATCTGCTGCCCAGTTGGGCTTCTTTGTATGGCGTGAGAACCAAGCATTGATCTACACACCAGCCACATGGGTTCGGCCCAGCCTTTATTATAAGGCCCAACCAAATTCACTGAAAGGCTCAGTGAACCCCTGAGCCCATCACATGGACCCTATGGGCCCAGTACTTACATTAAGTGGTCCTTAGGCCAAGCCATCTTATAAAAACCCAGGGACTGTGGGCAGGTGCAAGATTAGCCCATCAGGTACTATCCTAAATGGTCTTACACTTAACCTCTCAGCCCTTAATGATC